CCAAAGAAGAGCCCCGGAGAGGCCCGAAATGCACGCAAGAGGGCCACAACATGACTACAGAAACCCCCAAGAGAGCCCAAGACAGCCCAAAGCGGGCCCCAGGCGGCCCAAGGTTCCCAGGACGACCCAAGAGGCTGCAAGGTGGCCCCAAAGAGCCCCAACACGGCTAAAAAAAAAACCCAAAGGCCCCCCAAGAAGGCCCGGAGGGAGAGGCCCAAAACGGCCCGAAATATATCTTTCAACAGAATCCCCTTTGGCATCCTTTCTTCGGACTGTGTTGGAACCCTCTCGGGCACGCTCTTGGTTGCGTTTTGAAGCATATTTCGGTTTCACCTGTACGCAGTCTTCGGGCAATCTTGGTGCGCTCGTGTGCCTCTTTTTCATCAGAAAAAATCCGATTTGCCGCCGCTTGGGCTCCTCTCGAAGCCTTCTTGGACCCCCCTGTGGGCTTTCTCTTTGGCCCGTCTACACATTATTCCACGGGCCAGTTGGCGCCTTTTTGGCGCACCTATTGAACCTTCTTCCCTCCACCCTTGGGGTTCTTCCTGGGCCCTCCTGTGCTCTGTCTTGTGGTCGAGAGGCCAGAATCGTCAATGTCCCAGTAGTTTTTGAAGGATTTTGGCTTTCTCGCCTTTTCGGCTTCCCGACGCTCCAAGACTGCTTAGGAGGGCTCCAAGACCGCCCCAAAGCGGCCCAAGAGACACCCAAGCGGGCCCCAAGACGGCCCAAGAGAACCCCAAGACGACCCAAAAGGCGCCCACGACGGCCCGAAGGCGGCTCCAAAAACGACACACGAGGGTCCCAGGCGGCCCCATGACGGTCGAGGTTAGCCCAGAATCGCCGAAATGCCGTTCCAATGCGGCCCAGATGGCCTCCAGACGGCCCAAAAGGCCGCCAAGACGGCCCAAGAGAGCCCTTCGAGGCATTCCAAGAGAGCCCCGAGAGGTCAAAATCGTCAATTTCTCATTTGTTTTTGAAGGATGTTGGCTTTCTCGCCTTCTCGGCTTTCCGACGCTCCGAGACGGCCCAGGAGACCTCCAAGACCGCCCCAAAGCGGCCAAAAGGCCCCCAAGCGGGCCCCAAGACGGCCCAAGAGAGCCCCAAGACGGCCCAAGAGGCGCCCAAGACCGCCCGAAGGAGGCCCCAAGAGGTGCCCAAGAGGGGGACCACGACCAGAAAATTCGAGCAACAGGCCCCAAGAAGCGCCCAAGAGGCCCCCAAAAACCCTTAGAGGCCCCCCAGAAGCCCAAGTGAGGCCCCAAGAGGCCATAAAACGGCTCTCAAGATCATCAGTTTCCCGCTTCCCAGCTTCCCGGCCTTGTCGTCGTCGTGGAGGTCGTCGTCGTCGTCGTCGTCGTCGTCGCCGCCGCCGCCGCCGCCGCCGCCACCGCCGCCACCGCCGATGCCGATGCCGCCGCTGCGACCGCCGTCGTCGGCGTCGTCGTCGTCCTCGTCTCACGGGGATCCGGATCGACTTTTCGGGCCCTGCGCCCCGGTAGGCCCCCAGGGGGCCCTAAGAGGCACCCAGGAAACCTCGAAGAGGCCCCAAAAGGCCCCCAAGAGGCGCCCAACAGGCCCCCGAGAGGCTTCCCATAGGCCCCAAAACAGCCCCCGAGAGGATCCCAAACCATGAAAATCCATGGGTTGGCAGGAGTCCTTCGCGCTGTCCAAGACCGGGGGGGACGAGGAGGAGGAGGAGGAGGAGGAGGAGGGAGGAGGAGGAGGAGGAGGAGGAGGAGGAGGAGGGGAGGAGGAGGAGGAGGAGGAGGAGGAGGAGGAGGAGGAGGAGGAGGCGGAGGCGGAGGCGGAGGCGGAGGCGGAGGCGGAGGAGGAGGAGGAGGAGGAGGAGGAGGAGGAGGAGGAGGAGGAGGAGGAGGAGGAGGAGGAGGAGGATGCGGAGGTGGAAGAGGAGGAAGAGGAGGAGGAGGAGGAGGAGGAGGAGGAGGAGGAGGAGGAGGGAGGAGGAGGAGGAGGAGTAGGAGGAGGAGGAGGAGGAGGAGAGGAGGAGGAGGAGGAGGGAGGAGGAGGAGGAGGAGGAGGAGGGAGAGGAAGGCAGGAGGAGGAACGCATGGAAAGGAGAAGGACGACGAGAAGGAGGGGGACGAGGAGGACAAGGAGGAGGGAGGGGGACGTGCAGGACGAGGCCTCGACCTGGGGTAGTCGTCGTCGTCGTCGTCGTGGTCGTCGTCGTCGTCTTCCTTGTCCTCGTCCTCGTCCTCGTCGTCGTCATCCCCGCCGTCGCCGTCCACCCCCGGCGGGGACGCGAGGGAGGAGGACGAAGAGGAAAAGGAAAAGGAGGAGGAGGAGGAGGAGGTGGAGGAGGAGGAGGAGGAGGATGAGCAGACGGAGGAGGACGGCTCCAGACAAAGCCAGTGCGTTAACCTCGTCGTTGTCGCCGACGTTGTCGTCGTCACGGTGATGGTCGTCGTCGTCGTCGTGCTCATCGTCGTCATGATCGTCCTCGCCGACGCCGTCGTCGTCACTCCTCGCCGTCGCCGTCGTCGTCGTCGTCGTCGTCGTCGTCGTCGTCGTCGTCGTCGTCGTTGTGCCTAACGCCGTCGTTGTTGTCGTCCCCGCCGGCGTCGTCGTCGTGGTCGTCGTCGGCGGCGTCGGTCGAGGCGCGCAAAGTGAGGCGCAGCCGCGACTAGAACCTAAGCGCGCGCGAAGCGCGCGCGTGGTTCTAGTGTGTATATATATATATAACACCACGTGTAAGGAACCACGTAGATTGGGCTACATATAACATTCTACAACTATTTGCAAAGCAAATACTGTACAACGCAGATTGCTCAACCTAAAGTACACACATGTATCACTTCACGTAGATCCCCATCCTAAGAGTATACTCGATTCCACCACTTCACCGAGGGCGGACTTACCCGTCCAGCCTTGCGTATTGAAATTTGCATCTGATTCTGCCTCTTCGTTTTCTTTCCGTATAACATCAGACCATCCCAGCTGCGCCAGTATCCGCCCCCGTCGTCCCTGTGAAATCGTACCATGCGCGCAGATCTTCATCATCAAGAAATCATTGTCTTATAATCCCTGGCAACAAAATTACACCAGAGTGCACACGCGCGCGCTCATGTCGAAATCTTACCAAACATATTCTTCCAACATGCAGATATTGAACACCAATTGGCTTTCCAACAACAGTGTTGCAAAGTTTCTGCCCGCGCGCACTTGCCAAAATCATACGACAACCATTTCAACAATCTCGCGGGAAACCTACAATCTCAGCGGTGCAGCCGCATTGATCCAGCATGCGCCCAGTGCTCGAGTCCTTATCGAATGATACCACGCGGGCCACTTGCGCGCGCGCGTCGACATCCTTCCAACACCGTTGTTTCGTAACGATTCCAGCATACAGACATTAAAGACCCAGTGGTTTTCCAACAAGATTTGTCCAACATTTCATCCCAGGCGCTGTTGTGGATTCTTAGGACATCGTTGTTTGAAAGCTCCTGTCTAAGGAGGCCTTTGCACAGGCATGGCGCGCTTCGTTTTAACGCCCTCGCGCACGTGCCAGAGGCACCATCCCTTGTTACACCTGCCATGCTGGGCACACCCTCCTTGGCTAGGAATGTTCAGATGATACCGCGCTGGCCTCGCTGGAGGTCCGGAGGACTGCAGCAAGGGGCCCGCAGGGACCCTCCTCCAGGGGACGCTTTGGAGCCTCCAGGATCTGCGCAGCATGTCCTGCAGCACGGGTTTCGTCCGCGCGGCGCGGGCCTGCGCTTGGGAGCTCATCGGGTCTCCAGGCGTTGCCTCGGGGAGGTTTTCGCAGCCAAGTTGCGGGCGGGTGGGTGGGATGTTTGCGCGAGCGTGGGAGATGGCCACGCGCGGTGCAGAGTAGCCAATCGAGCCACATAGAGTGCTGGCATATGTTGCTAGACACACTGTTTTGGGTCCAGGCTGGCTCACTTTTTTTTGGTCTGCGGGTCGGGAGCGGGCCCCTTCCGGTCAAGAGCTAAACGGGACGCGAGTAGCCCTAATTGGGGAGACAGGGCGCGGGCGGGCAGGGCCTCAGGCGGCCGGAGGGCTCAGAGTACAGGCGGTGCCGAAGATCTTGCACAGGACAAGGTACGCCATGGACTGGAGCAGGGGGAGCGGTCCCAGAGGGAGAGTGGATTGGTGTTGCCGTCATCGGCGCGCCAAGAACACCATCCTCGAGTGCTGCGTGAGGAGGGCCGGGAGCAAGTCAACGTCCGCGAGGTAGAGGAAGACCAGGAAGGCGAAGTGCACCAGGTGCCACCGAGTGGTAAGGAGGGGCCCAGGAGATACGGACGACCACGAAGTCGATGTGCAACGTTGTGCCAACCAGGCTGGCTCACATGATAGGGCAGAAATAGTCCAAGCAACTGCCGCCTGGCACTGCCGCGCCGCTCTCTGGTGATAACGATGATGTGGAGGGGGGGGAGGATGAGGAGCAGGATGAAGAGCAGGATGATGATGATGATGATGATGGTGATGGTCATGGTGATGGTGATGGTGACGATGATGATGATGATGATGATGATGATGATGATGATGATGATGCTGATGCTGATGTTGATGTTGATGTTGATGCTGATGCTGATGCTGATGCTGATGCTGATGATGATGATGATGATGATGTGGTGATGATGATGATGATGATGATGATGATGATGATGATGATGATGATGATGATGATGATGATGATGATGATGATGATGATGATGATGATGATGATGACGATGATGATGAGGAGGAGGAGGAGGAGGAGGAGGAGGAGGAGGAGGGGGATGTGTGTGATCAGGATTTTTTTGAGGATGAAGAGGATATCGACGTTGAGGACGGATGGGGAGGAGGTGGGAGCAGAACGGGGGATATGAGGGAGGACGAGGGGTGAACGATGAGGATGAGGGATGAGGAGGATGAGGAGGGTGAGGAGGGATGTGAGAAGGGAGGAGGGATGATGGTGGACGAGGAAAATGATGGTGATGATGTGGGGAAGGAGTGCTTGGCCCGGGTGCGAGATGCTGCGGCTGTCTCTGGCGGAGCTGGCGGACCTCCTGGAGGCAGCCGCGAGGGTGCACTACTACGATGCGTCTGTATTTGGCGACTTGACCTCCGCCGTGAAGGCGCGCGCACGCTTTCCCTCAGGCCTCCCTCGTCCCCCTTGGGGGGCACTTTGGATTCTCCCGCCGCGAAGGGCAGTCGCCACCCCGTAGCGGTAAGTTTTTTGATTTACGAATTTCTACGTAAACTACATAATTCACCTTCCTCGTCC